TTCTTCCGTTTGGACTTGTAATGTATCAATATTGACTTTGATCAAATATGTGGTTTGTAAATTATCGGTTGCTGTTATGACAAAAAACTGTCGATTCTGCTGGTCAATAGCAAATGGTTGATAGCCTTGTCTGATTCGTATAGTGTCTGGTGTTATTGTAACATTTTTTCGTTGTTTACCAGTTTTATAATCTAACTGAATACATACTAAGGGTCGAATTATACTATATTGCCATAGAGCAACTAATCTTTGAGTTGTATCACCACTGTATCCAAAACCGAATACATTATAGTCGAATTGTTTTGAGTTAACAACAATTTGTTTTGCATTCTTTGCCAAATTTAATGTGACCAACACAGTCGAACTTTGATTATTATCGTATGCATGATAAGTAAATAATTGCCGTTGTTGATCAAAATAACTACCCGACATTGGAGAACCAAGATATTCGATGTCAGCTATTTCTTTTGACACTGTAAATGTTTGTTTGTCAATTTCAACTAATTTTACGTGCAATTGATCTTTGTACATATGAATAATAGCATATAATTTATCTGACTTTGAATTATATTGAATATAATCAACAAGAAATTGATTTATTTGATCAGACTGATAGGTCTGTTTTGTTTTTACATCATATTTTAGTATTTTACATATGCTATAGGTTCGTTGTTCCATCGAAAAGTAGATGACATCATTTATAGAATCATATGAATATACATCTAAAGCATTACGTAATGATTTCACATATTTTTTGGGATAATTTGTTATTTGAAATGAGGCAACTGTTCTACGATCACCAGTTGTATCATTAAATGTTGTTATCAAAGAATCATCGATTGCGATCCATTCACCCAACAGCGAGGATGAATTTAATATAAAAAGTACACTTACGACAATTATTAATCGGTACATTTTTTTAAATCAATAAAAATTAGAATTTTTTCATGATTTGTTAAACACACTGGGAAAAATCAGCAGCTGTGTTCTCATCGTTGAAAGAATGTAAAAGAGCATTTTATCAAAACGAACACGTTGATGTAATATTCTATTAAAAATGATGATAAAAAGCATTGTCAAACAAACCTCATATTTCGTATCTTTTTCTAGAAATCAACATTGAACGAAAACCCGATACAAAATAGTATGCCTGTCGATGCTATAGCGTTTGGTCAAAACTGACTGGAAAACTTCAGAGCATACATGAAGATTGTCTGACTCGGTCGGTTGGTCGATCATACGTTTTTATGAAAATAAATTTGTTTTCTTTGTCAGTTAGTTAAAACTATCTATCATAACTATCATAATTTAGTGTAAGACACACTAATCATAATGCAATGAGATTCACATACAGCTCGCATCAATGTGACGTATTAGTAAAAGTACAATAACAAATATTCCATGAGTTAATAATTTTTTACACCTACAGCAAACATTGAAAAACAATGAAAAACGAACAGAATCTAAGTGATTCTGGTGATTTTTGTACCGTTCGACCTAAGCTAATGAGTCTGCATGGTTCTGCGTTACTATTAAATCAAGCTTTTGGAAACGTATGCGATTGTATTCTGGACACTTTACTCTATATATAGTGGCTCCAAAAATCAATCATACAGCACACACTTTTTTCCTTTTTTGTGAGACAGTCAATAATGAAAGGTTGTAGAGAGTGCGGGTCTCTCACTGTTGTCTATTTGCACAAATTTTCAAGTCAAAGATCTTTTCCTATGATCTTTGATTAAAAAGATAAAAAAGTCTATAATTGTTATAACTACGAATTTCAGACTTTCACAGTATTATAGTTCCACAGTACCATAGTATCAGAGTATGACTTTCACAGTGACCTTCACAGTTTCACAATATCATAGAATAACTTCCGTATGAAACTATGAAAGTGATACTACAATACAGTGAAACAGTGAAAATCATAGTATGATATTATAATATTGTGAAGTCACGAAAGTGAGGCTATGATACTGTGAAACGATGCAAATTCACAGTATGATATGACGATAGTGTGAAACTATGAAAGTTATACTATGATACTGCGAAACGGTGAAGGTCATGCTATAATACTGTGATACTGTGAAAGTATAAAAGTGATACTACGCTACTGTGAAACCATGAAATCCACAATCATACTGTCAAACTTTGAAATTCAGAGTTTGATACTATGATACTGTGAAACTATGAAAGTGATACTACGATACTGTGAAAGCTATACGGTGAAACCACGAAACTATGAAAGTTATACTATGATACTGTGAAACTTGCAGTATGATACTATCATACTGTCAAACTTTGAAATTTATAGTTCGGTACTATGCTACTGCGAAACTGTGAAAGTTATACTACATTGTAAAGTCGGGAATTATTTATAAAAAATGCTCGGCCATTTTCAAAAAGTGAAATCCATATGTGAAATCCTTACGGATTCTCCAGATTATAGAAACTCGAATTTCCAATAAAGTGGAAAATCGACAGCGATTTTCTGCATTGTTGCGAATTATTTAGAGAAAATCGTCAGGAATTTTCTAGATGATGAGGAAGAACAATTTGAGTGAGAATGCTAATAATCAGAGACTTGCGAAGTGAAAATGGCGGAAGATAAACTTTTTCACCGTTATTAAAAGCTATTGAACTTCGAAGTTGAGTGGGGTGTATTATTTCAGCTTATTGGATGACGATATGGATCTTTTACTAATGAAAACCAAATTCGACATCGATCACGTGTGGAACGACTGTTATTTTACTTAAAAAACAAAGAAAATAAATGTGAATTGTTATGGTCATGTCTTTGAGTTAACAGAACCAACTACATTTTTGGAAGGTGCTAAATTCAGATATAAAAATGAGTAATATCAAGAGCGAATCGCTTTGCGATCTTCAGAAAGTTGCGGTGGAACTCGACTTTGCCTTAATCAGGCCTAACCTAAGAACCTTTCCAGTACCTCGATTTTCTACAATGTTGAAAATTATTTTAAAAAAAATCGCTGTCGATTTTCCAACCTTTTAGAAATTCCTTATCGATTTTCTGCCAAATGAGAAAAGTCAATTCATAGAAAAGCGAGCGGATTTTCTATAAAGTAGAAAATCAACATTTTATAAACAGTCAGAAAATCGCTGGGGATTTTATAAAAGTTGGAAAATCCTTGGCGATTTTCCAGATTGATTCTCTATAAAGTAGAAAATAATTCCAAATTACAGTGTATGATACTGTGAAGCTATGAAATTTTCGTTGTGGCAACAAAGACCATTTTCATGAAAGGAAAACGAGCGTTGCCATCCAGTAGAATGATGTGTCAGGTTCAATTTGAGACCAACCTGATCTCTCCAATACTCAAAAGGGCCGAGAATTTCTCTAAATATAAATTTCTGAAAATGTGAGAGTCAGTTTCGAGATATAGTGGCGCTAATATACCGAATATGCTAAGAAGAGCCCAAATCCAAAAATTTAGATTTATGGGACACCATGTTATTTTCTATTAATTTTCCTCATTGACGCAATCGTATGATTTCATATGATAAGTACTTCTTCATATTTTTCTGTGACTTTAACTCCTCTTTATAGTAAAATCCTTGTCCAATACTAAAATGCGTTTCAGTAATAATCAAATGATTAGATATGGACAATGTTTATCATAATTGTCTAATGCTCGTTTATAATATTCTCTTGGAATTTCAAAATTAAGTTTACCTTCAATTTTATTAGTATCAATTATTTTTGGACCACGAAAATAATGAACTTATCCTAGTTTTTACACTTTGTTCCAATTGTAAGTACCTTAAAAGAATTTTTAAGGTAAACAACAAACATATTCTTTCGTTCAAATACGAAAAAGTGTTTTCATAATTGCATAAACTTAAATGTACAGTATCGTAAGCAGTTAATAATGCATAATTTTTTTTTGTTGATATAATTTTTATAGCTTTTTCCACAGTATTCTAATGTTGTTGAAACACACTTTATAATAAATTCTACCGATAGAACTATACGTAGTGATATTCTAAAATGGTCATGTGATAAATAAATTTTTCGAATTTCAGGGACAGTTATATAATAATTTAATGCTTTTCGATCATCATCTTTGTGATCGACAAACTCTCCAAATTGTTCATACGCTTTACTAAGTAACGATTGATCTATCGGTTGAGGGTGAGGTGAAGGAGATCGGTTCATACAAAAATTGTCAATAATAAACCGAAGTTATGTAGTGATACACTTTCTGTGTCTGATACACATTCTGTGTTGCGATAAGTGATTGGGCAACTAGTCTAGCATATCTGTGGCGGCGCCAAGGCACGTAATTAATAAGCAACGCTTTCCCAATTACAGATGCATTTCCGTCAGCTTCCACAAGAAGAGCAAATCGTTCATCAATGTCGATTCCACGCGGAAGTATCAATGCAGAAATCTGCTGAAATTTGTGCAAGAATTGTGACTAGCCTTCTGATCCTGTTTCTAACAACAAAATAAGTATCCATAATTTTGCCTTCGTGGTCTGTTTAAAAAGACACGATAGATCCTTATGTATCTATTGGACGCAAGGGTGCCTCTGCTGAGTGCAAAGCTGTATTCGGCCATAACGCTTAAACTTCCTCTCACTCCCCTGAACGGTGTCCCTATTCGATATTGCTTCAATGAGACCCTCTTGTTTTGGTGCATTTGCCAAAATTCAATATAGTTGGCTTGTCTACCGCCATCAAGCAGAATAACATTGGCTTTAGAGAGTGTATCCATAAGGGATGGCTTCTATGTTTCTTCCTTCGACCTAATTGAGAGTGTCTGTACACATTTGATATTCGGATAGTAGTCAGCGATCAAGTCACTATAATTAGCCTGAAGCTCATACTACAATAAAATTATCACTACTGACTTTAACACACAACCAGGGAAAGGCCACTTCCTGATACTTCCACTTTCCATGAACGCTAGTCATCCTATTTTTGTGTGATTATGTTGCTCCTGTTCTTCGTCATGACTGCCATTCTCTTGCTTTCTTGGTTTGTTCGAAACATAAACCATTGCAAAAAGAATGAGTGACTTAAACTTTCTTATTTGAAAGAAAAGAACATGAAAAAGGAAGAAAATAAAGGAGGAAAGCGAAAAAGAGAGCTGAGATTCTGTTAGTATTTATTACAACTGCAGCTATTCTATTTAATCATTCTTCAAACTGAATCACTTTCTATTACCCGAGTGTTGTAAACTGAGTATAAAGTCGACTGTGGAACGAGAAGAACTTCAACTATTAGAGAAAAACTAATGGTCAAAAACTGCCTTGACCTGTTTTGTATTTACAATCGAAGAGTCCGAAAAGGTCAAATTATAAATCGATTTATAAATAATGATTTATAACTATTTTAACTTTTGATCGAAAACTTAAAATAGTTATAAATCTAGACGCAATTTATACTACCTCCATATACCTTATCGATTGAGATATAAATTATTAGAAACGGAAGGGAACACTTCCATAGATTCCTCGTTAGTAAAAATAAACTTAAACAATTTTAGAATTTCTGCAGGATCTTTACAAAATCAGTTTTTAGATTCTCCAAATATGCTCGGCACAGAGCGATGACACAATATATCTCTACATGATACAAATGCGACTGCTTCATCTGTCGTTAGAGGCTCAGCATCAGTTCTCCTAGAACCGTCAAGAGTGGTCTTAACCTGCCTTAAGTGATCTTGAAAATGAATATAAACTTTTGTTAATGATTTTACTAGTTTAACTGTTCTTTCTATCTAGACTTCTCAAATAAACACTTTTTACTTTCTTCTTCATTCCCTCATTGGTATCTTTGTTAAAATTCTTTGACCACTTGTTTTTTAGAAAAACTTTATTAACATCAGGATTTATTCTTCGCCTTTAAAATAAATGTTCTCTGACAATAGTACAGAAATAAAAAAACAATTTTCCTTATAAACCACCGGGATTAGATAATATGAAAATCAATTGAAATAATGCCACCATACACTCACTACTCATTAAAATCTTACAACAATGGGAAAATTATTTGTATGTAATTAAATATTCAGCATAAGCTTGTGCGTCATGATATGTAACAAAAATTTCATTCTGATCAGTTGTTGAATCATATCCTGCTGGTGCTGTTTTCATGCTTGAATCTCCCCTTATTGCTCTCCCAATCAAAACCTTGGCAATGAACATACATCGTTCACCCGTTGATGTGTCTGGTATTGCATAACGATTACTATAACGAGCATTTGTAGCAAAATAAACACCAAAACCGTATACCGTTCCTAAAAAATAAGCTCAATATTATCAATTTTAAGTTAACTGATGAAAAAAGCGTATGAAAACCATATATTTTTCTAACGTCTTCGTCCTGTATTTTACGTAAAACATTTCTTTTGAAACAACGATTATTTACACGCTTTGATTAGCCTACTTTCAGTGGAAACTAGTTAAAGAAAGAAACGAGTGACATTACCATTCACACCGGCATAAGACCGATTGAAACATTCATTAATAATAAAAGCTGTTTTATCACTTGGTAATCCATGAAATAATGTTTTTTCACAGTCATCATTTTTATATTTTCGCTTAGATTCATCACGATGTGCTGCGTATTGTATATACCACCGTTCATTTTCTACTCGTTCAATTTTAATTATTTGACTATATCGGCCTGTCATAGTAGAATTAAACTTATCAACAACATCTTTATATTCTTTTGACGTATTATTCAATGGAATACATTTTGTATCCTCGTGTTTAGGAGACCAGTGATCGGGCCATTTTTGATTAATTTCTTTTCGTCTTATTCGACGAACTTGTTTTCCACACTCTTCATTCATTCTATTGTCTACATATACTCGACATCTATTAAATTCTTCATCGATTATATCGATCTAAGAAGAAAAAAAAGGCATTAAAATATTTTCTTATTTTTTACGTTGACACAAACAAACCGATGGTACTCTATGTTGGTAAGTAACTTCAATTTCGGCATTTGTTTTAAACGAATAGTTTTTCCATACATCATCCGATACTTCATATGACCAAATAACGCCTTGTGAAATGATCTGCACTCGTTCTTGCCGATATGTATCATTTAATAATTGATAAATATATTTTTCTGCCTCTAATACAGATTCTTTTAAACCATTTAGTTGTAAATGACCGTTTATGATATCTAACTGTGGTAATATTTTTCGTTCCAGACAATAAATATAATATTTATTAATTGTTTGTTGTGTCCAATTTCTCATGTCTTGTTTATCTTTCCACTCTTTTTTCAACGTACCAGATTTACTTTGCTTCTCAATTGCTTGTCGACATTCTGACAATGCGTCTTTATTTTCTGCCGATGTTGTTAGAGTTATTTGTACGACTACAAGAAAAAAAACAAAGGACAAATATCGATTTCAATTTTCTTGTTGTCAAATATCAAATGAATGAACTATCTGTATCTTTGAAGCGTCTTATGTTAAAAGTACACCGAGAAAGTGATGAAATAAAATTTAGCTCCTTTTTGCTCTTTCATTTAAAACGTTCGACAAAGATTAATCTACTATTGGTTTCAAAATACATGGTAGTCGGTTAGTTTCTGAATAACTTTTGATAGAAGATAGATAGAGACCTGCGGTTTTCAGTTTTGAAAACCAGACATCTGACTGCATACTTTCGTAAGCAAAAACAAATGTCGGAAAAATTTCCGAAGCCGGTTTTTGGGAGATTGTTGGAAAATCACTTTGGTTCTCTGAAAGCTGGCATAGAAATCTATGAATTTTTTGCCATAGATATATAGTCCGAAGTGTCCTCTACAAAACTGCTAAAAACTGGTTTTTTTAAAAAATTTGCTTTTGCTTACGAAAGTATGCGGTCAGATGTCTACAGACAAGGTTGTCTGCTATTTAGTGGATAAACAAACAGAAAAAACAATATGAATTCAAAATATTAACAATCATACTATCAAACTTATCGTAATCGAACATAAAATAGAATGAGCATACTTTCTTGGTCAAAATATTCTATGTTCTCAGATTCACTGCTTGAGGTGGCATTATCTTGTGTATTTGTGGAAAAATATCCACTGATTACTTTTGCTGCACGATTAAATAAACCACTCTTATTATTATCTATCAGTCTGGGATTTAATTGATTACAAAATTCATCATATACAGTTTTTTGTTGTGCTAATAATACAAATGATACTATAATAGTTTTCTTTAAATTTTTTAATTGAGATTTTGTTTCATTTATCATTGTATCAGCAATTACATTGGCAGAACAACCAAAATTACCACATCCCAATGCTGGAAATGAAATACTTGTATAATTATTATCGGTTACATATTGAATGGCATCTGATACAAAATCAGATACAGATTTTCTTAATAGTTCATCATTTTTGTGCGGTTGCCAAGATTGAAAAAGAATCATTTTACATTTTAATGAACCAGCTGATATTGCAATTTGTTTCGATGATATTGAAATTGCTTGATATTCGTTTAATACCTGGTCACCAGCAACTTTAACAATAGCATCACACAATTTCGTTGATGATCGACAGAGAACAATCACATCAGCCTAATGAAAAAAACATGATAACATAGCAAACAATCAAAGATTAAGATTATACGTACCGTTTCTGTTGTTAAATCTCCAAAATGTATATCAATAGTACCATTAGCTACCTTTAGACTACTATTAGATGTTGTTGTTACTGGTCCAGCTATAATTGCGTTTGGAGAAGATGGGACTGACAATTGAATAGCATCATTTGTTTGTGCAACCGATGCTAATTCTTTAACATTTGCTTTTGGTATTGCAATGGGTATTTTTTGTGTTTCAATTTTTGTTTCAATATAACATGAATATCTATTAGCTATGTCAGTTAATAAATATTCTTGATTTTGAATCAATACACTAAATCCTAATGGTTCCCTGATATCAAATTCCAATTCAGATGTTCGTGCATATTCGAGCAGACATCGTTTTAAATGTTGTTCATAAATACTAACAGGTGCTAAAATAGATGAATTTACAATATTTGATAAAATTTCAACACCATCATCTTTATGTTTTGCTTCCAGCGCTTGCAGTTCTCTGAATCGCATATTTAATAAGTATTTGATCTAAAAATAAGGTATAATCATATTTAAGTATGTACTAAATCAAAAGTAAATATACGCACTTGATTTTGTTCTAATTGTAATTTGTGTAATTTTGGCTCATATTGATCTTTGATTGATTCAAATTTATCTTTTATTTCTAGAACTATTCCTGTTAAGCCAAACAAATAAACTTCTGTTTCATTTGTATCACAACATATGGTTTTATTATAATCTGGTCGTTGCCGCAATTTACCATAAAAGTCATCTAATTTTTGTACTAATTTTGATATTGTTTGTGATTTTGATGATATTGTTACAATTTCGAATAGAAATACTCCATGATCAATTGCATCACTAATCTGATTTTCTTCAGTACCAAACTGAGGATTTCTGAAATAATAAATCTTTAACCCATTTCTCAATTGTTGACAGGCGCATATAACACCTTTTCGGTTGAAATAATCTTGAATAACATGTACAGAATCGGCCACTTTGATCCATTCAACAACTAGAAAAAGAGTAGAATGTCATTTACCTACTATCGAAAATTTATCTACAATTCAAAAATACAAGATAGTTGGTTAGTTTTGAATAACTTTTGATAGAAGATAGACAGAGACATGCGATCAAAATTCATCCAATCTACTTCCGAATGCCAGGAAACACTCTATTTTATCCATTGATTGTGATTTTGTACGTAAAATCAGTAAAAGATATTCTCTTAGTTCCGAAGGTTTCTGGAAAACCTTTCTAGGAGCCAAAGTATTTTCAGTTGATTTTTTCAACATTTATTGAGCTTTACTAAGAATTTATTGAACTACAGAAAAAACAGAGTGTCTCCTGACATTCGGAAGTAGATTGGAAGAATTTTGACTGAATTATGAATTTTTGATGAAAATAATCAAAAATGGTATATATGGTGGTAATAGTATAGGTTTTCACTCGGTTGTTGCATTTTTTTCTGAAAACTAACATTGTCACGAGATTCGGCATAGTCGATAACCTATGTTTTCATTCGGTTTTCTGACAGTCTCAAACCTAACGGCAGGGTAGTGCTAAGGCTTCAGGAAAAACGTCCATAGCTCCCGAACCATGGATTTCTAAGATGTCGCTTAGATGTAGTTTTGTAGAGGACACTTCGGACTATATATCTATGGAAAAACTTCATAGATTTCTATGCCAGCTATGGGAGAACCGAATTGGTTTTCCAACGATCTCCTAAAAACCGGTTTTTTAAAAAGGTTTATTTTTGCTTATGAAGGTATCCGGTCAGGTGTCTAATTTCCAAAACTGAAAACCGCATGTCTCTATCTATCTTCTATCGAAAGCTATTCAAAAACTAACCGACTGCCGTGTATTTTGAAACCGACAGTTAGTAACATTGATTATAACACACGTACCATTCTGTTCATTGTAAACTGTTGTTTGGAGTGATGTAAACAGATTTTCAATTGCATTACGTGCTGAACAAATATCTTCGTATCGACCATTTAATTCGATAATAACTTTCATTTTCAATGATGACTGATCATTCTCGCGTTTCACATTTGTATTGGTCATGTATGTATCACGTAAATATTGTTTGAAACGAATTTGGAACATATCATTATCGAAGAATTGACAATATTGTGCACTTTCGATTGGATAACGAATGATTTCTGTTTGAAGAACTGATGGTGGGTGTGACAGTGGCGATGAGTCAACTCTACTGTTATTTGTTGACAATTTCGATTGATTAAGTGGCGACTGAATTTGAAGTAGTTGATCCATTACTGTACGTTTAGCTGCTACCATATAGCCTTTTTTATCCGGTAATTGTCTGTATGCACAGTTCTCTCTATCTAGTGTATTCATTTGTTCCAGCGTTGGCTCACGTAATTCTTTAATAACAAATTTTTCCATAAATTTTTTCGTTGTATCCAATAAATCTGTTGGAGCTAATTTCCCAAATTCATTAGACACGAAGCATGTAACGGAACAACCATGAATCTCAATATCATTATCGATATAATCCACATATGATCCTATACAGTAGAAGGGAAATTATACCACATACATGTAAAAAAATCTGTCTCTTTTTTCCCTATATTTCACCTTACTTATAAATTTTTTGTAATCAAGTTGAACGACCGGATGAGATGTAATTAATTCAAACTGGGAATCAAATGTTATTTCCACTTTTCTCATAGGTGAAGTTGTTGCTATCATTGAATAATCAGGTTGTGGTTTTGTTATCAATGGCCTATATATGCAATGAGCATTTTAACCCAACATAGACCAAAAACAGATCTCTTACTTTATAATGCCAGACGATGGACGACATCTGTCAGGTTGAACTTTTTCCACTGACGTTAAATCATTTTGAATAATATTCAGTTTTTGTTTGTTTGAGCTCATTTCCTTTGTAATTATTTCATTCTCCACAACCTGTAGAGTCGGTCGAACGCGAATATTATATTGACTCTGATATTCATTTGTTTTCATCCATCTTTTCAAAGCTGAAACGTAGAATAGCATGAATTACCATACTATATGTAAGATTAAACATAATTTACCATGTGAATCGATAAATTCAACTGATACTTTATCATCAAATACGGAAAATGAAAATATTTCATCTAATGATGATGAAAATAAGATTGGTATAATATCTTTTGATGACTCTATTACATGTTGTTTGTCTAACATTTGTTGTCCTTCCAATTTTTCAAATAATATATCGAGCATATCAATCTCATAGATCTGAACTAATTGCACTTCTTTATTTTGTAATTGAGATTTTTTTGCGTAATTTTCGAATAATTTTATTAAATCTATAAGAAAAACAGAACATATAGTTTATGCACATTGTTTCAGAACGTCGTTTTTATTATACCAATATCTTGTTCACATTTAATCAAATAGATTTGTTCTACTTTATGATTTACTGTTATATCATCTATTGAATATTCACTAATTCCGATCAGTATTTCCGTGTATAAGTTTATTTTTCTTTGATCTATTTTTGTATCACCTAATATTTTCAGTACAAAACACTGTTTATCAATTTGTTTTATTGTTCGTTTCATTTTCATCTTAGCAGCATCATGAAACGTTAAAACGCTTTGAGTTATAAGCTTATCCACAGCTAAAACGCTAAGAATTACTATATCGCATGTAAGAGATATAGTCACTATATTTTGACTTACATTCTGTTTGTGCAAATTGAATAATAAAACGTCGTCCATGCTGATTATGAACAGGTGTCATCTTTGTAATATTCCATCCTTTCTTTGATAATAATAATTCAACCATTTCATCATCTATTTGTGGTGCTTCCTCTTTCGATGGTATAATAATTACATCTAACAGATAGTATGAATTTGACGACATTATCTACAAGAAAGATATTTAATGTCAGACTTATGAACTCATCTCTGTTTTTAAAAAATGTATATCATCATTCTATATCTCAAAAAGATGTATTATTTGACATTACTCAACTACAGTCGACTTTATACTTTTTAAAAATTTTGGCCTTTGCTTCATAGTGAATGCGCAATAAATAGTACAGTTAATGATGAATATTATTTATATGTTTCACATCCCAAAACGTTGGAAAAAAATTTAAAAAGTAAAAATTCAACATTTTTCACTAATAAACGAGAAATAAATATTGATATAGGCAAAAACAAATAATAGAACTGCGACAAATAGCGATTTTCTTTTCTTTTCTGTTTTGTTTTCTTATTCACGTTATATATAGTGCGAGTGGACGTTATATAACGTTCACTCGCACTATATATGACGTGAATAAGAAAACAAAATAGAAAAGAATATCTCGCTATTTGTCGCAGTTCTAATAGAGAACTAGCAAATAAGGAGATATCTATTCTCACATAAGATATCCCACGTGCAGACATTTTTCAGCTTTACCGAGTCGATAGGAAAGAAAGATATGCATGTGCAAAAAGAGATATCCTATTATTGGCTAGTTCTCTATAATGACAGTTCGAATTCTTTCCTTTTCTCTTCTTCTACTTCTTCTCCGGTCAATGTATCCACTAGTAACCGCTTTTAAGTTCTGTATACACAATAAATATAGTATATACACAAGTTCTGTATACACAATAAATATTCTTTTAGAAAAAGTTTTTATGAGTTGTGTGTAGTTGTCTCGAGGCTTAATCTATTATTTATATAGGACAATCGCATAGTGAAACTTAATAAAACAAGTATGTCTTTATGCATTGATACTCACACCGTTTGTGGTTTTAGATTCTTTTTTATATATAATGAGTGAAGACAAAAGATTTTCCGTTGATCAGATCACTCTTGTTAAGGATGATTTTTTCAAACAACGTGTCAGTGGTATTGTTTTATATACGGACGGACCACAATTAAAAACATTAATGCGTGAATTATCAGATAATAAATTAAAATGTGATATAAAGAGTATTTGCGATCAAATATCAAATGATCGACAATATCAAGAACATGATCGATATCAGATTATTCGTGTGGCAGACAATCAGATTGAAGCTGAAAATATTATTCTGGTTAATCAACCTGGTATCGATTGGTCAGAATGTCGGTGGTTTGAAACAATAATTGATATTGCCTGTCAACAAAGAATATATTCAATAGTATTTCCTTATATTTTATATACGACAGAAGATCAATTGTGTACACTGGATATTATTTTACAATTAAAAAAAGAAAACAAACTTCAAGAAATCCAAGAAATACGAATTGTTTACATAGATGACACAAATTTCGCATTAGAAAAAGAAAAATTAAAAAAATTTTTAGCTGAGTTGAAACAATGGAAAAATAATGGTAAGAGTTTTTACTGGCAGTTTCCAGATAAATTTAGTATTTGCAATACACCAAGTCTGTAATCTACCACATATAAGTGTATCTCAAACATTACTGTATTTAATATCTCTTTTCTTCATTATAGGTGGTAGAACGAATGAAAACACACAATGTAATAATCATGTAGAACATGGACGTAAGACATTCGACCAGAATAACGGAGTACAAGAAAACAATAATCCATCATATAATCATGACGAAAGACGGACAATTGTAGCCTCTAATGTGAATAATACTCAAAATGAACAAAATCCTCAATATCAATATGAGTTTGGCGATGCAATATTAGTGATCAAACAAGGCAATATTCTAATGGAAAAGGCAGATGCTATCATCGTTGATGTCGATAACTTCAATCCAACTCAACCTGTTCGAATGCTTTATGAACAAGCTGGTACCACTTATAAACAAGCATGTGCAGCTTTAAATCCAACTGATGAATTGTATATCATGCCTGGTGGTGATTTACATGCACGATATATCATTCATATGTCATTACCATGTTGTACCCCAGCTCAGAGCAGTAGCCAAAATTATTTGGGGATTTTACATGATAGTTTTGTGCCAGTGTTTAAAAATGCATTAAAATATCGAATTAATCGTATAGCTCTTTTACCAGATGGCCGCATTAAACATAATTATAGACCTGAAAGTCTACTCGAACAATTATACAAAGTTTACTCAAATTGTAATACATACATACGTGATATAATCATGGTAATTGATGATACATCAAGATTTTCAATGTGGAATGATATATGTAAACGATTTTCAGCTGAATGCTCAAGAAGACGTGCAAAAGAAAAAGAACAACGATCATCAGCACATGTTAATGAACGTCCTCCCATAGAAGAGCATGTACTAGGAAGACCTGTTAGACATAAAATAGGTGACGATAGTTTAAATCAGGATAATCAATACAGACAAACCAGGTCATCAGGTATTATACATTTAAACCAATTTGTATCAGTTATACTTTTTTCTCTATTTAGTACAACCTCAAACAGTAGATAACGGACGCACATGGTCACATACTAGAGATTCTCCGCATGCTTCTAATACCAGAATGCTACCAACCAATCTTATCAAATACGCTTTATCAGAACGTACAGTACTAACAGTGAAGCGGGGTGATATAAGCATGGAACCGACTGATGTGATCGTGAATGCTGCAAATGAACATCTTCGTGATGGTATAGGTGTTACAGGTGCCATCTACAAGAGAGCGGGACCTGTGTATGCTGATGCATGTAGTAGATGTCCAAAAATAAATAGTAAAGGGTGGTGTCTTCAGTCTGGACAAGCTATCGTATTACCGAGCGGAGATTTACCATCACATTGTGTTATTGCCACCGTGGGTCCCATTTTTGATGAAAAGGATGAAACAGAATCGAAAAAAACATTATTTTCATGCTATAGAGAATGCTTATTGTTAGCTGCGAAAAAAAATCACCGTTCAATTGCATTTCCAGCATTATCATGCGGTGTCTACGGTTATCCTATCCAAAAAGCCGCTCGTATCGCAATTGAAGCAGTGCAAAAGTTTTCGTCGGATTTAAATGAAATAGTATTTGTTCTTTGGGATGACCTTGTATTTTGTGCTTGGATTCAAGAAATAGAAAGCAATAAACATCTCAAAAGATTAACTGACTAACTTAACTTTATAATGATTAGATCTAAGATTGAACATGTATTGTTGCAATAAAACAGAAATATCTTTTTCTTCTTGTGTTATCGGCCCGATCATAATGATTTGGATGATGTCTGTAATCATATAGATAATGTTCTTATTCGCTTCGCAACTAAAACGTGTTTCTTTGACGCAACTATTATTTTAGGTGATTTAAACGCTCATTGTTCAGACTGGTGCACATCCAGTAAATCATCGACTCCCGAGGGAATTGTGTTGAGAGACTATACCAGTAGTAAAGGATTTGTCCAATTAGTTAATAAACCTACTCGAATAGTTTAGGACACATGTTTAGATATTATAATTACTACTATCGGCGCCAAAATATATGGCAGGTTGCTGTTTCTTTAATAACTCGAAGACGATGATAGGCAGAGAGCTGCGGTTTTCACTAATGGAAAGAGGACACTGCACCCAATCTTTTCACGAGCGAAAACTGTAGTCGAAAAAATTTGAAAATGGGCTTTTCAGCGGATCTTTGGAAAATCTCTTCATATCTCTGAAACCTTACATAATGATATACCTATTTTTTTTCATGGATATGTAGCCTAATATGTCTTCTACAGATCTGGATCTAAGACACTCAGAAACACATGGAAACATAGGTTATGGACTATCCTGAATCTCGTGGCAATGTTAGTTTTCAGAACAAAATTCAAGAGTCGAGTGAAAACTTATACTAGATAAAATAACCCATTTTTGATTATTTTCATCAAAAATTAAAAAATTCATAATCCAGTCAAAATCCCATTATATATAAAAAAGAATCTAAAACCACAAACGGTGTGAGTATCAATGCATAAAGACATACTTGTTTTATTAAGTTTCACTATGCGATTGTCCTATATAAATAATAGATTAAGCCTCGAGACATAACTACGCACAACTCATAAAAACTTTTTCTAAAAGAATATTTATTGTGTATACCTTATGAATCGATATGTTTTATATTTTTTCAAAAAGTTCTGCTACATACATAGAAAAAGCGGTTACTACTGGATACACTGACTGATCAGAACTGATTAAAATGAGACATTTCCCAGTGCTACATGACCTTTTTTTGCAAAGTTATAGAATTTACAACAAAAGCCTTAAATTAATTTTTTATTTCTGTAGCCGGTTCTTTTTTAATGACAGTTCGAATTCTTTCCTTTTCTCTTCTTCTACGTCTTCTCTAGTTGTGTTCAAATTTCTGTCGTTAATTATTATTTGAGATTTTTTCATATGTCGGTTTGTGCGAAACAGTTCAATTAGGATAGGTATCGTTTCATAGTTATTGTTTAAATAACATAGATTATTAACACAATGTAATAATAAATGAATCTTACGATCCAGAAAAGTGGTCAATGATTTTCGAAGCAGATTAATATCGGTAGTTCCACGGATATACAACGAATATGTTTCGTCCAAGAAAGGAAATGGGTGCTCGATTAGAAATGGAATGTTTTTATTAGATTTAACACACTGTAATATCCGTAATTGTTGGTTAATATTGTATACTGATGTGTTAATAACAGTAGATGAAACATAACTTTTATTGTAAATGACAAGATGATAAATATCGGATACAGTAACGATGCCATCTATTATAAAACAATGAATACAGATTTCAAGATACAATGTTCGGCGACTATGTATTAAAGCTAGTTTCCATTCAAAACTTTTGGTATCTAAATCACCTCCGGAATGTAATGCTTCACAGTTCATTGATGAACATGTGTATTTGAATACAAAATCTACTAAATATGTTATAATCTGATGAATAAAATTATATAATGCCCTGTTGAATAAAACGTATGAGCTAGACAATGTTGAATATAGAGGAAATATGATAGGACTTCAGTCTCGATTGTTTTTAAAGCGGAAATGCAACCAAAAAAAGTATATTTTGACCAACACAGTGCAATGGATTAAAATCTAATGCAAACGTATTTGATGGCACTCCAGAGTATCAGCTTTCTGTTCGTATATCATAGGTTCGTCTTAAACGTGTTTTTCTATCACAAATAGGTGTTTTACTAAAAGTTAACAATAATAGAAAAAGGATCATATGACTTCCTCACCTTTGCACAGTAAAAGAAATGAAACTATCTAACTTTTTCTGTTCAGATGTATTAAGATAAAACAAAGTCGGTGTCAAAATGTTTGATTTTGATCGAGTTATACAAATATTCCTAATTGCCTTAAAAGTACAGCTGGAAAATGATGATTCTGAGCAAAATCGATAAAAGAAAAATATATACTTTTCCAATCGCTTATGTCTGTTAAATATAACTACTTGACAGAGATACAAACACATGTCGTTTTATCGACACGGTTACTATAGTAAGGGTGCTGTGTTATGAAGTATGAGGGGATTTTAGAAATAACAATCCTGATCACTTACTTGTTATTATAAAAATATACATTAGGATTTGCATGAATTATATGATAACTAATTTTTTCGTTGGTTGTCGGGTTTAACACTAAAAATTTAGAGAATATATCATTTATGTTATGCGACATACAAATAGTTTTGTATATTTCATAATTTTCATAACAGTATTAATAAAAAAATATTCTGAGAACGGTTTCTGATGCTTTCTCTTTGATAGTCCCGCTATCTAATCTCGGATAAAAATCAAAATCAATATAAAACTTCACTAGTTTTGTTTCATTAATATTTTCACAAAATGTTCATTTACGAACAGGTAATGTCTGCAATAACAAATATAATTCCGCAATGGACAGGTATGTGTATTCTCGCTTTCCGTCCGCTTTTCCAATGGATATAATAACAGATTCATATTGATCTAATTTGACCTCCTCACAATACTTTAAAAGATCAATTAAGCGATAAAATGTGAATTGGTTTGGAAGAATGTATGTGATGAAATGATTAATATTCATAATTATTTAATACACAAAAATTCAATATACTGGACATGTTTTGGCCTTGTTTAAAGCTGATGATCCTCAGATTTGCTCTAATTATAGGTCTATAACTCTTTTGAGAGCATTGTCAAAAGTTTTTGACAGAGTTGTTTATAAAAATGTCTTGGACTTTCTTAGAAGCAATAACTTAATTTGCAGAAGTCAGTCGGGATTTCTTCTGAATGATTCTTCTGTAAATCAATTTGTTGCTAAAGTTGATCTTATTGCAAACAATCTTAATCAGGGCAAACCAGTGTTAGCAGCTTTTTTGGATTTTTCTGAAGCATTTGACAAGGTGTCCCACGGCGGGCTTCTCCTAAAACTAAAATGTAAAGGTATTCCGAATGATCTTATCGATTGGTTTAGAAGCTACCTAAAGGACAGACAAATGGTTACTATGGTTGATGGTACTACTTCGGATTCCCTGCCTGTTTCTTGTGGTGTTTCACAGGGATCAGTCCTAGGTCCTCTCCTCTTTCTAATATTTATCGATGATCTTCCCCTGGGATTAACTTCTATCTGTAAATTGTTTGCTGATGACGTATCATTGTATGGTGACGCGGATGACTTAGGGAGAGCTGTCTCTACTATGAACGATGATTTGGGCAGAATCAATCTTTGGTCTAAGCAAGGGATATTTAAAACAAGGAAAAAGATTTCCTTTATTGTCTATTTTCTGGAGACTTTTGAACAAAACACTTTTGTAAAGCTTCTAGCCACACTGCGAAAAACAGGACACGAGTTGATGCTTGTGAAATGCTTCTCATTTTTGAATTTTGTGAAGTTTAATGTATAAACTTCCCTCTTAATCGATCTGATTGGATTTAATAATGATATCCTTAGTAAAAAAAATGTCGAATGATCAAGATCTTGAGATCGAGAAACGCAAAAAGATTTTCTCATAGCTCAAGAAATTTAGTAATTTCTCGAATACAAAACACTAAAAAGCATAACTTTTACGTTGAAAAAACTCTCTCCGAAGAACACCGATTTCATCATGTTTTATCCGGTTTTCTCTTCAGGAACATGATGTAATCGAGATGGACTATATGAACAAATAAAGTGATAGGAGAATTTATAATACCGCATATCTGTTGAAACATATCCTGTCGCTGCTCTTCATAACCAATACATTCCAAAAAAAAAGTGTTTTACTGTTTCTTTATCAGCGCCACAGCTACATGCGACCGCAATCACAACGTTTCTCCTTGGTTGAAATACAGTTCTCAATAATTTTATAAGTATTTTATAAATAAAACCACGAAAAGATGACTAATTTGCCATCACGGAAACCGAAATTTAAAAAAGAAAACGCTCAGAATCGACACGACAGTGTAAAAATTTTAGACCGAGAAAGATCGTGTAGAAAGATAAAAAAAAATTGCGCAACATTCTTCTTGAAGTTCTAGTTGTGCATTACGATCGTAGAAAGGAATCGTTTTGTCTTACAGAGAGTCAAAGTTGGACATAGTCGAAAATGGATTCCAGTAGAACAACCATCATCCAAACACCTATATGCAATGAAAAATGATTGGAAATCTTAGTCTGAAAGAATTATAACGTTCCTTGGAGTTAAAATGAGATCCGAACAAAGTTTTTTAATAGTTTATCCTAGTGAATGTACTCATGCGTGAGTACTCAAAAAGTACTCTGCTGAAGAAACCGGACGAGTACTGATACGTTTTGAGTAATCATTGAGTACTCAAATGAGTACTCAAGAGCGAGTAATGAGTATTGTGCGGACGACTTTCAGTATTTATGCTTGTGTATTGTTGAGTACGCATATAACTTTTGGCAAAATACTTATGAGTATTGCTCGTCTGGTATTTTCATATAGAGGAGTGATTCCAAGCAGCCAGAGTTGGAATACAAGTCTATTCACAGACGACTCCATCTCTGACTATATACAGAGAGACCAACAAGAAAAATATCATATAAATGTTCTATGTCTTTACTAAATTCGGTGGTCTTTATACAGTTCATTTTTGCAAAACAAAATGGTGAATGAATATTTTCTGAGTACTCA